CCCTTTTTTGCAGCCCACACTTGTAGCGTTAGCGCAGATACAGAAATCTGCGCTAACACTACGCTACAATGTAGCGTATTTGTGCTACACTACGCTAGGCTAACACTACCATTAGCATAGCTGGCCCAGCATTGATTATAAGCACTGATAATTTCTGGAGTTTGTAGGAACAAAATGATATAGTTCTGCAATTTGGGACTATCAGAGCTCCAGATGATGTACAAACAGGCCAGACTTGTTGATCAAGATCATAATCAGTCAGTTTTTACATATTATAAAATTGGTGATCATGAATGTGCATGTGCCTGCAGTACCCTGAATGGCAAGTGATGTCATTCCTGAAACTGTTGTAGCCATAGGCAACACTGCCACAGATACGATACACTGTGTGTATCATGGAGAATTCTGCAAAGCTGCATGTCCAAAAACCAAATTTGTTGAATCTCCTTGCAAATAAAAGCAGATTGGTCAGATAGTTTTTTTTTATTGGGGCTCAGATACATAGTGATACATGGCAGATACCCTATCTGTGGCAGCGTTGCCATAGGGTCCCTGGAACTATGTCAAAAATACATGCTTGATGTTTTGATTTTTGTATACCATTCCCCTTTCAAGGAAAATATTGTAACAAGAGGTGTTACAAACATAATCTGACAGGAACAAGACCAGGTGATAAGGTTTTTTTAGAAAGACAAAACTTGGCAATAAATTTGAATCAATCATCTCAAAATACTGGATTTTTATAAATTAAAATGCTTTTCCAACATTGGAGGAACGTACAGGAAACCTTGATGTATAATATTTGATCACTCATGTGTGTTTTTATACGGCTGATGAGGCAGAAAGTGGCCAGTGTTGAGCATCAAATTTCAAACCAAAACGGTGGAAATTGATACATACAGCTATTCTGGGAAAGATTGTCCCATCCAAAAAAAAAATCACCTCCTCAATTTTTTTTCTGTCCCCTTTAGTCATATGCATAAACTGCTACAGCTCAACAGGAATCAAATCACTCAAGGAGGACTCCCACCCCAAAGGGTAGCAATTATGTGATGCAGGGTTCACAACTTCTGCTCCAAGGAACATAATTTTTGACAAAAAAAACAAAATTGGAATAATATCAATTGGACATGGACATTGGAAAGCCTCTCCTGGAATTTCTGTTCAATACTGTCTGATCTGGTAATTGACCCACCCCTCTGGGGAGACTCTTTTGCCTCTCCTGGGTTTTTCCTGAACACCTTCCTTTCCAATGCCCCCCTTCTGGGAAGCTTTGGATCCAAGGTGTCTCAGAGGTGCTGGTGGGAGGTGTCTAACAGCTCCTATCCCCTCAAGGCACAAGACCTTCCTTCTCCCTCCCGCCTGACCCTTGTAAGTGGATCTCTAACAGAGCCACAACCAGGCATCCGGTGTAAGACTCAAAAGTGGTTGTGAAACCCTTTTGCTGAATTGAGAAGGGGATGATGGAGGTGCAAACTCTGCCCTTCTATACTATCAGAAACAAGACCCCCAAGCTTAGCTTGGAAAGTTTTAATAACGTGATAGGATTGGTCGGTTCCGGTATGAACTTTGTTTTATGAAAAGTAAAGGTTGAATATGTAATTGCTGATAAAATAAAACTGTTATGTTATGTAACAGGTGAAAGGCTTATATAATTGTTTTTAGCTGGTGAGTTGTATATTGATTGACTGCTGAGTGATGAACTGAGTGGATGAACTGAGTACTATGAACTGAGGAGACAACAAATGGGGGGAAGAGAGCCTCCTTTTATAGACAAATGTGAGGGAATTTGGCTCCAGGGCAGACAAGAAAGAGTGATTTTAGCTGGCCTGTAGGTACAAATGAGTGAATTTAGCTAGTCTGATCATGCAAGTGAGGGAAATTAACCAGTGAGGCTGTGTACAATTAATGTCAAAGGCTGTGCTGCAGTGTGTAAATAATGTGAGAAAGTGTCAAATGAGGCAATAAATTGCGGGAAAAATCCAGCTGTTGTCATAAGTGAGGTGAGAAAATTAATAAACTGTGGGAAAAGTAATTCAATCAAGACTGCGCAGCCTGCAAAGGCAGTGCATGAGGTGACAAATAGAACCAAACTAATATATGCGGTGGAGATAAAGAGGTGTGGGAAATTATGTGTATACCGTGAGCTGTGTATAAGCATAACTGAGAGGTGATTTGTGGGTTGTGACATGTGCTTGACTGGGTATTGGCTTGTGATATGCGTCCGTAGGGGTGTAACTTCCAATCCGTGAGTGTTCCAATGATGCATCCAGTGGTAACCTAGGCTGAAATTGTCCGTAGAATCCATTTCTGAAGTTGTATTGGTTGATTTCTGAATGAATGTATGAGAAAAATGTATATAAAGGAAAAACTTTGAAATTTTTACATATTAAATTACCACACCGGGGGTAAACTTTGATGGCCTGGTTCCCTTTTTTTGCGCTCCAAAAGTCCTGGGAAACCACCCTGGAAACATTGCCAGGGGCAGTGAAACCCTTGATGACCTGCCAACTTCTGCAGCCTGCCTCCAAGCCACTATAGTATCACCCACTTTCACTCAACTTCACCCTGTTTTTGAACCACATCCCTTCATCTCATCTCACTCACTCAATACAACACCACCAGAAACCCCGGATTGCTGCTCTCCAAGTAAGAAAAAGAAAAAGGAAAAACTGGCCCAAAAACAAAAAGAAAAGGAGAACAAGACAGAGGAAGAGGAAGACCAAAGTTAGAGGGTCAATTCAGAGGAGGATGACACTGATGAAGAACAGGTCTTGCTCTCTTGTTTGCTTCACAGATTGTGCTGGGGTATTTTTTTTTTCTGTGTCTCAGATTGACTCCAGTTTTTTTTTCTACACAAATGTTGTTTCTTCTGTATATATCCAATGAATTCAAATCATTTAGGCTTTGCCATTTGGAAGCAATACAATGCAAACTCTTGTGAGATCTGATGAGGTTTTGGTGGACCTGGTGAGATGTCAGATGTTGGATAGTGGTGAAGCAAGACGAGTGTGGTACATAGGTGAATCTAGAGAATTGAGTCCTGGATGGCTGCTGGAAGTGCTGGTCCATGATTGGAGCTGGCCTGTGACCCTGGGGGGTTAGAGATACTTGAGTACTTTGCAGACTTGATTGTTGTGAATTGTCCCACCTGATCTCTCAATCTCTTTGGATATATTGAAGGACTGAGTGGGAGCCTTGCAGAGTGATGGCTCTGATGTGGGCTATAAGTGGTTGTGATTTTGATTGCGGAGTGAATTACGATTGAGGACTTGGAGGGGCTGATGTAATGCAGGTGATTGGGGCGCTTCCTGTTGATAACTGGAATCAGATCTACATACTGAAATCAGATTTTGTGCGGAAATATGGGGGGCAACAGATTTGGTCTTGTAGGGGCTACAGAACTATGTAAGGGCAAGTCCTCTTTCACTCTGATCAAGCACTTGCACTAGTCTTCATGATGAGTTGTCTGCAGTCAGGTTGGAGTTCCATGCTCAGATCAATCAGATCTCCTACTCTCCAACAACCACAGAGCACTTAACATAAATACAACATCAGACTCCTTCAAAAAAGAAACAACAAACACACATTAACCGAACCCCTCCAATCTCAACATAAGAAACAGACCGCCTGGACTGCATACGAAACAAAACTCCTATCAAGGATCAAGAGCAAGAAGAATCGGAAACCAAAGATATCATACATACAATATAAGGAGAAGACGATCGGAAATCGAGGGTTTTCTTGGTTGATGGATGTGACGAGACTTGATCAGAGGAGAGACGATCGATCGATCGATAGACTGACTGACTTGAGTATACGCACATCACAAAACGAAGACTTTTCACATCATCATCATCATACTGCAAACACAACTCGATGGACCTGAAAATCACCACATAGCACACTCTTCGACTCGTCTCCTCATCACGAAAAATGAACAACATCATGCATACAATCAGCAATCTGGTAATCGGAACAGATGTATCATTATACCCCTCCCAAAAGAAAAAAAAAAACATCATTGACAGTTTGTGAAATTCACCTTGTTTCGTTTGGGTGTTTGTGAATCTTCGTGGTTTTGTTTAGGAGCTTCGGGTCGAGGGCATCGTCATCGTCATGTGTATGCTTCCTCTCCCCCGCCCCCTATCTGTGGTGTGCAAACTATCTTCTTCGTCTTTCTCCTTTTCCTCTTTCACTTCTCTTTCTCTTTCGATTATGTAGTTCTTTTTTTTTCAATTATATATTCATGTTTATTGTATACACACACACACAAATACTAATACATCAACTAACCTTTTCATTTTCGTTTGGAAACTAATCACTACCTCTGGTTTTTTTTTTTTTTTTTTTTGGTTAATTGGAGATCAAGTGCAGAGGGGGTCGGTTGTAGAGGAAAACAAGATTGTGTTGTTTTTTTGGGGAGCTAGATATGGATCCCTTCTCAATTCGATTTAAGTCGATTTGATTCAACGATTCAAGCAGTCCAGACAGAAAGCAAAATCTCAAGAAAAGCAAAAAAAAAGAAAGATTGACCAGTGCTTTATAATATCGGTCTCTCTACATACTATTAATTTTTTTTTTTTGGACCACCATCGTCATCCTCATCCTCATCATCGGTCACCAACAGAAGCGTACTAATAAAGAGAATCAGATTCAACTTGAACAATAGATATTTGATCTCAGCCGGCTCACCGACGAGACGACTAGAACCCCAACCAATTGAGGGCGAGAACACCAACGAACGAAGAGAAGAAACTAAAGTCGGACAAAAACTTAAGTTTCTAAAACGCTTTGATGAGGGTATCGAAGATCACAAAGAACCGATCCCAATACCAGTCGACAACAACGATGATGATGATGATGACGAAGACGACGAGCGATCGCGCAAGATAAGACGTGTCTTGAAGAAAAAGAAGCCGCCGTCTATCATCCAAAAGGCTCGAAAAAAGCAGGCCTCCCAAGCTGATCCAATTGACCATCATCATCATGCTCATCGAATGAGTACCCCGTCTCGTCGGAATGAGAAGGCCTTGAACGGCCGGTCTAACGGTTCGATTAGAAGGGTTGTCTCCGGCTCCAAAACTACGAGGAATGGTGGTTCGACTATGGCCTCTTCGCATTCGGCTGCTGGCTACTCTTGCAGGTCTCGTGGGATCTACGACGTCGAGAGCTTGGATCTGTTTCGTGGGTCTTCTTCGCTCATTCCCTTTGCTTTTCTTCTTCCCTTTTTTTGTGAGGAGGGGAGTGATACCAGTTTTTTTTTTTTTGGTTTTGTTTCGTTTCGACACTTCCCCCCTTTTTTCCGTTTTCTTGCTGGTCCGCAAGTCGCTGATGTTCTCTTCCTCCTTCTGCCCTTCGTGACATTCTGACATTCTTCTGCACACACAAACACTCATATATCACTTGACATCACCCAACGCAAACAAAAAAAAACACATATATACATATCGAAATCTGGTATTCGGAATCGAAACAAAAAAATGGTTCTTGTTGGTACGGTAGGATCTTACGGATGTTCTTGGTCTATCAAATCGTTGTCTTGCTCTTCATCATCTTTTTCCTTTACACTTGTCTCTGGCCTTCTCTGACCCAACCAACAAACATACACTATCATCCTCCCCCCCAGCGCCTTTAATCCGTCTTCTTCTTCTTCTTCTTCTTCTCTTACCCACAAAGTTTCTCTTGCTTGCAATTTTTTTTTTTTCAATCTCTTCTTGTTCTTTCCATCCAACAAAAAAAAACCCCTATGTATATTATTTCTAAATTGGAGAATTTGTCAATTACTATGTCGCTAAAAAATATAACAAGCAAACATTTTGAGAGAAATGATGTTGAATCCTCAATAAACACATGTAGAGAAACAATTCTCTTTATGCTTGAAAGAAGTAAATTAAGGTGTGGTGAATCTTTTTTATCTGTGCATGGATAATCACATGAACTTGATCCCTCATTGTATTTATATGAGTATGGAAGACCTTCCATCTTGGTATTGAGGATTTGACTTTTTTTTTCCTGTTCTTGGCCGTAAACCACAAATGTATCACTTTCTTTATATCATTTTTTTTGATTCTTCGATTCTGTTATACAAAGCTATGAACAATCCATGTTGACCAAACTAGATATTCCCCGTTCTCTGATCAATGAAACAAAAAAAAAGGAAATGTCTAAGTCAATCTTTTATTTTGGGGCTGAATGAGAAGAGGAAAAAAAGAGTCTATATTGATTCACTAGTACTACAAGATCCAACATTTCTGAAAAAAAAGAAGAAGAAAAAAATGAAATATGTATGTATAGAAGGACTAGTGTTTGTTTTGACAAAAAAAAAACTACAAAGTATTGTTACAAGAATCAAAGTAGTCAAAGAAGAAAAAGAAGAAGAAAACTAAGGCTTGGTTAATAGATAGGTTTGGTTATATCAAACGAGCATTTTTGTTGAATGAAGAACTCTTCAGAGACTGGTTTTCCAATCTTTTTTTTTGGGGGGGGGGGGTAAAGCAATCAGCACTACTGAGCAAGCGAAAGGATCCTCCCGAGTGACCAAACAAAAAGGGAGGAAGGTCTTACGGGATCAAAGCTTGTTGGACAACACATTCCTTTAGATGTCTCGAGTTGACAATCAAACTTCGTTGTTTCAGGACCGACGACGACTTGTTGTTGTTGGGCTTCAGAGCTTATAGACAATGACCCCATGAGGAAAATATTTTCAGTACGCGATTGTTCTACAAAAAAAAAGGGGGGGGGGGGGTCCTTACCAGCATACCCTTGGATTTGCCAGGAATAGACCGAGCACCAAGCCACGTGTTGGTCTTCCGGACACAGAAAGGATCCGTTGAGAGCTGCTACTGCTGTTGCTGCTACAGAACACAAAAACAACACCGATCGAGCGAGATGCATGGCGAGAACCGGCACTGGAGGATCACGGGAATTAACTTTTTTTTTTTGGAGGG